TGAGGGCGGGGATAGTGTCCCTGCCTGCAGGAGCCTCATAAAGGAAGCGGGTGGCAGACACGGTTTCCACATCACAGGTGTGCTGGCAGGCTGCTGTTGTCTGTGTCAGGGACAGGCCTTTCCCGGGTCTTCAAGACCCCAAGGTGTCGAGGCATCATGAAATATAGAAACTACAACACATAATGAATATCCCCCTCCTCCCTGGGCCCCCCCTTCTCCCTGGCCCCCCCTCCTCCCTGAGGCCTGGCCCCCAGGCCGGGTCTCCTCTGGCTGCCCTGGGGCCCTCATCACTGAGCTCAGGAGTCAGCGTCCGGCCAGGGAGAGGAACCACCTTGCATTTCAACCAAGGACGGACTTAAGGCATGAAATGGGCCAAAGCACCGGCCAGAGGTTAAGGACACACACACACACACACACACACACACACACACACACACGTGTCGGTCCTGAGCCGGGGCAGAAGGAGCAGAAGAAGGCAGTCCACATCACCCTTGCCTGCTGGAGCCCAGAGCCCCGCTCTGTGGGAAGAGCCAGAGGAAACGCACGAGTTCGTCGTGGCCGGGGCCGGGGCGCCACGGAAATCTGCCACCGCTCACGTCCCAACAGCCCAATTTTCTTTGTTCTCTGTACCTTCCGTGCAAGATATGAAAAGAAAGCGGAGGTTTCTTTTCACTCCACCACCGCCCGGACTGTAAGATCACGTGTGTCATGAAGACAGTTGCCACGTTGAGCGTGGTGTGCAGGGCAGATGTTTGACCACGGGGACCCAACAGGGGGCCCGGCCACAGGCCCACCCGTGTCCAAACCTGACTTAGAGCCAAGGCGTGGAGCCGTGGAAGGACGGCATCTGTTACGAACGTGTCATCGGACAGCCACGGCTCTGCGGGCCGAGCGGCCCTGCGGCTCAGGCTGGGGTCGGGCTAGGACGGGGTCCGCGCCGCAGAACTGAGGTGACCTGCTTGGTGTTTGCACCCCGCGCGGAGCAGGACCGGGCTGAGGGAACGCGGGGCGAGCCCGGCCGCTGCCCTCCAGCCCGGGGAGCGCGCGCCCCCTAGTGGCACCAGGAGGCTCCGCGGGGCGACGGTCAGACCCGAGCCGCTGACGCTCCTGAGAATCTCTCTCGGGGACCCCAAGTAGGGAGCTGGGGAGGGAGCCCCCCCGGCCGCGCGGTCCTCATCTCCACCGGACGCGGACACGGGTATGAGGGCCCGGGTCTCCCGTGACCCCAGCCAGACATTCGCAAAGATGGAGACCCACCCGCTCTTCCCACTAAATGCCCTTTTAAAAGAAAACAGAATTATTTTTATATAACTTTATATAAAACGTGTTACACGTTCAGGTGGGGCGGGCTGTGGGGCACCCCCAGGCTCTGCCCTGAGGGCACCCGGCTGTCCCCCGCCGGGAGCAGCGGCAGCACAGACTTCGTCGCTGGTGGGAAGGCAGATGGGGACCTGCTCGTCCCCCGGACGTGCAGAAGCCCAGCCCCCAGGCGGACTGTATTTGGGGTTGGGGTCCGTAAGGAGGTGCCCAGGGTAAGATGAGGTCCCCGGGGTGCGCCCTGATCGGTGTGACTGGGGTCCACAGAGGGCGGGGGACGGACAGCGGGGTGCGCGCACAGGACGCTGACCCGCGAAGCGGCCTTACCGCGCGGTGATCCCGGCTTCGGAGGCTGGACGCCCCCAGGAAGAGCGCCCCCTGCCGGCGGTGTTTGGCGATGGCGGCTCGCTATCCCCCAGTGCGGAGGCGTTTGGAGGCGGCGCCTTTGGGAGGCGGTCGCGTCGGGAGGCGGCCAAGGGGGTGGGGCCCCGTGATGGGATTCGCGCCCTTGTGGGGGCGGGGCCGCCTGTGTCCCCGGAGGGGCCGCAGCCCGTGCCCGCACTCGCCGCCCCCAGAACCACCGGAAGATACAGCTCTGTGGCCCCTGGGACTTGGAGGGCCGCAGCCACAGCCGGCACCGGGGTCTCCGCCATCAGACGGCGGCACGACATGTGTGAGTCCGAGTGTGTCACACACGCTGCGGAGATGCAAAGTAGAGCAAGGGGACACGTCGACCTGACCTGCTGTTTTGGGCCTTTGTACGGGCAGAAAAGAGATGATCTGAATAAGAACATTCTGAGGATCGTTTCTTTTCTTTCCTTTATTACTTATTTTAATGTTTACTTATTTTTGAAGGAGAGAGACAGAGACAGAGTGTGAGCAGGGGAGGGGCAGAGAGAGAGGGAGACACAGAATCTGAAGCAGCTCCAGGCTCCAAACTCTCGGCACAGAGCCCGACGCGGGGCTCAAACCCATGAACGTGAACTACGAGACCATGAGCTGAGCCGAAGTCCGACACTCAACCAGCTGAACCACCCAGGTGCCCCTCAGTCGCAATTTCTATTTGGGGTGAGATCCACATCACACAAAACGAACTATTTTAGAGTGTTGTATCCAGGGGCACATAGCACGTCCACAGTGCTGTGCAACCACCATCTCTATGTGGTTCCAGAACATTCTCACCACCCCAGGAGGATGCTGTACCCGCCAGCCGCCACTCCCCATTCGCTCCTTGAGCCACCGCCAGGCTGCTTCCTGTTTTCATGGATTTACCCACCCTGGACTTTTTCTCGAAGTAGGTGTGGAGCAGTACGGGGTCTTCCCGCCTGCCCTTCCGCCACCCGCCCCGGTGACCAGGCTCAGTAACAACACATGGTTTCCGAGCCTCAGTTCTTCGTGCAGCGAGCCGGCCTCCCCTCCCCAAAACCCACTTAGCTCATTTAAAAGCTGTCCCATCTTGGGGCGCCCGGGGGGCTCAGTCAGTTAAGCATCTGACGCTTGGTTTCAACACAGGTCATGATCTCACAGTTTGTGAGTTCGAGCCCTGAGTCAGGCTCTGCACTGGCAGCGCAGTGAGATCTTGAGATCCTCTTTCTCTGTCCCTCCCCTGCTTGTGCTTTGTCTCTTGCAAAATAAATGAATAAACTTAACATAACTAAATAACTAAATAAAAAGCGTCCCAAAAAAGTACCTTACAGGGAATGGGAGCATCTTAGGTAAGAAATAAACATGAGCAGGACGCCTGGGTGGCTCAGTCGGTTGAGCGTCTGACTTCAGCTCAGGTCATGATCTCACGGTTTGTGGGTTCAAGCCCCATGTTGGGCTGACAGTTCTGAGCCTAGAGCCAGGAGCCTGCTTCAGATTCTGTCTCCCTCTCTCCCTGCTCCTCCCGTTTACGCTCTGTCTCTCTCTCTAACAAATAAATAAACATTAAAAATTTTTCAAAAAAATCAAAGTGCAGTGATGAATGAAGACGGTGGACGTGTTATCGGCACTTCTGGCAGCAGAGAAAGAGCCAATCCCCCCGTGTGGAAATGGGAAGGTGAGGAGCTTCCAGGAGAAGCAGCCTCACCTGCTGACCCCACGTTTCATCTGTCCCCACCCCCACGGGCCAAGAACGGCCACTCGCCAGCTCCGCCAGAAACCAGCCTGGGGTGAGGGCGGCACCCATCGGTGCACGGGGCCACGTCAGCACCAAGAACACTGTTACGGAGGCCCCGGCTGGAGGACGGAGCTGTCCTGGAAGATGACGCCCCTCTCTGTGGCGGGGGAGGGGGGATGGGCACGGAGGGGGCACTTGTGGGGATGAGCACTAGGTGTTATATGGAAACCAACTTGACAATAAACTATTTGTAAAATAAATAAATAAATAAAATGTAATAAAACATACCACTCATAATAAAAAAAAATAAAGGCAGAGGCCTCACCTGCTTCAAAAATAAAATAAAATAAATAAAATAAAATAAATCAAATAAAAAATAAAATAAAATAAAATAAAATAAAATAAAATAAAAAAAAGGAAAGGCACTTTAATCGAGTCTCGTAAACACCAGCCGCTCATCTCTCCCTGTCTGGGGCCGGTGCACTTGTGGGGCGAGGGGCTCCCTGCTCAGGACCTGATCACCTCCCAGAGGCCCCACCTAACGCCATCGCCTTGGGGGCCAGAATTCCAGCATCTGGATCTGGGGGGACTCTGACATCCAGACCATAGCGAAGGGCATTTGGGTCTCTCAGCCAAGGATTTTCGGGAACAGCAGCCAGGTCACGAGCAGTTAATGGCTTTGCCTCGTAGAAAAGGCTGCCTCTGGGCCAGCTCACGTCAGGAGATAAGGGGCCTCTGGGGGCGAGGGGAGCAGTGGCTATTTTGCTCCTGGGTCTGCAGGGGTCCTCGATTCCAGGAATGGACACCGTCACATGGTGGTGGCCTTGGGAAAGGGGAGAAATGGGTCACCCCCTCTGCTCGAGCCCACGCCTTTGGCGCAGCCTGACTGATATCTAGTGGCCTTGCAGTCACTGTGGGGGGTGCGGGGATGGTCCACCCATGGGCTGTGTGGGCCCCGAGCCCGCGGCAGCAGCCCGAAGAGAGGTCCCCTGGGAAGGCGGCGAGAACGGAGCCATCGGGCCGGGCCGCGACCAGGGCCAGGGCGGATGGGAGGCGCATGTGTTGTCTGGGGACTCACCGTCCATTCTTCCCCCTTCTGTAACACCTCCCGGTCCTCTGTGGGGAGGGCACCCTGTGCTTTAACTAACTGGTCCAGGGATGCGCACGTGACCCAACTGAGCACGTTTCCTCCTAGACTTACACATGGGAGTTTGTGAGGCGGGGGCCATAGCACCCGGGCGTGCAGCAGGAAGGAAGCCAGCAGAGGCAGAGAGCTGAGCAGGGGGAGGGGAGAACCAAGTTCCAAGGCCTCGTGCGTACCCCGGATCCAGCCAGACCTGAAGCTGCCACAAGCCCGGTGCTATTCCCCTTGTTAACCAATAAATTCCTTTCCTTGCTCACAAGTTTCTATTCCTGGGTAAGACTTTGGGCAGGGAGAGAGCAGCATGGACCCCAAACGGATGCTGCCCCCTCCCGGGCCTGTGTGGCTGCCCTCATCTGAGGTGTACTCTACACCAGGGAGGCTGGGGAACTGAGGGGGGCCGAGGTCAGGACACTCACCCACCACATAAACAGGCTCAGGTACCAGAAATCACATGCTCTTTATTTGCGTCCTTCTGATGAACCAGAACGCGATCCCTCCCCGTGAGCCGTGGAAGGAGACGGGGGACACTGTCCCCGGCGGGCAGAGCCTCAGGAGGGGCCCTCTGCCCCGAGCCGCGTCAGTCCACGCTGTCCAGGTCCTGAGGGCCTCCGCTCTCGAGCCGGAGCACCTAGATGGAGAAGCCACACGAACGTCCACGGCCGGACGCTAACGACCGCGTTGTGGAAACACACCTGTCACACACAACTAGGGTGGCGGTCACGGGACTGAAGAACCGCTCACGAGACAGTCCCCACGATGAGCGAGGATGTGGGAAGGGCGCAGAGCATGTGCACTGGGCAAGCCTGGCAGAACACGCCCCGCACGTCACTGGCGTCCCCGCCCGGACAACAACGCCATGGCGGACTGTGGCTGTCCAGGAGGGCCTTCGAACCCCACTCCTGATCTGGGGGGACCCATCACTGAGGGTCCCTGGGGGGAGCCAATCCCCGCCTCTCCCTAACTCCCCGTCTGGGGGAGGGGCTGTCCTGGCAGGGAGCCTGCGTCCCAGGACTCTGCCCACGAGATGCCAGTGACGTGGGCAGAACCACCCCAGGCACGACCACCAGAAATGTCTGCGGCCAAGGCGTGCTGTCCCCTGGGGCGACCCCTGGCCCGAGGACCGCGGTCCGGATGTGCAGCGTGGCCGGGGGCGCATCCTCCAGACGCACCTCCCTCGGCCGCCGAGACACAGCGCGTCCTTCCAGCCGCCGCGTTCTCGGGCTCAACACCGCATCACCCAACCTCGTGCTCCGGGCCCGAGGCCCCTGCTGGCCGCTGCCCTCCCGCGGGCCATCACCACCTGCGCCCCGAGCGCCCTCGGCCCTGCTCCCCTGCGCGGCCTTGGGAAAGAGAAGGCCGGGAGGGCCTCCCCCTGCTTCTTAAGTGGATTCTACTAACCCTTCCTCATTCTTCCATTAATTAACTAGAAAAGGAAAGGAAAGGCAGAGTGGGTGACAAGGCGCGAAACCATCCTGACGCTTGAGTCGTCTGCCAGGGGCACTGAGCGGCCCCCGGTGCCGCGGCCACTCGCGTGAGCGACGAAGCGCGGCCGGGAACGGCTCGCGCCGACCTGAAAGGCGCCTGCCCTCTGCGGAAACGGGGGCGGTGAAAACGCTTCGGTCCTCGGGACGCGCACCTGGGTCTCGATGCAGCGGAACTGCCAGGGCCAGCGGGTGTTGTAGAGGAAGGGCCGCAGGTCGAACCTGTTGTCGTCGGGGCTGTAGCTTTCCGCGTGGTACGCGGGGGTCAGCGTGGTCATCTTGTGCCTGTTCGTGGCGTACTTGCAGAAGAACCACCTCACCTTGTCCGCCACCTGGCAGGCAAGCAACGCGCGGGCGTCTAGCTCACGGGGCCGCGAAGGCCCGGCCGGGGGCTCGCCCGCATCGCACCCTGGGGCGCCAGCTACCGGCCCCCACGCGAACCCCCCAGCGGCCGAGTGCTGGTGGCCGCACGGGGCGGGGGCTGGGCCGGACTGTGTGGGTTCCCGACTCCAGCGCCCTGGACGCGGTGCCAGGGGATCCCGGCAGGGGCGCGGGAAGATTTTCCAGACGGTTCTGTGGGGCCCTCCACACGATCCCCGACCGGCTGACTCCAGGCGAGCACGGGCGGGCGAGGGGCGGCTCAGGGGAACGGACTGGGGGTGGGGCCGCTGGAGGCGGAGCCCTCCCCCCGGAGGCCACACCCACGGACTCCCTCCCGCCCCTCCCCCCGGAGGCCACACCCACGGACTCCCTCGCGCCCCTCCCCCCGGAGGCCACACCCACGGACTCCCTCGCGCCCCTCCCCCCGGAGGCCACACCCACGGACTCCCTCGCGCCCCTCCCCCCGGAGGCCACACCCAC